AGTTTAAGGGAGGCCTTGTTGGGAAGCTGACTTTAGATAGTTACGGTTTGATTTAGTCAAATAATTGAATGTTCCAGAAGCTTTAGGAACTGTTATTATCTTTGATTTAGTAGTCTTTAGTTCCTGATTTTTAGCAATTCTGTTTATTCCCGTTACCTGTACCTTTGTTACCTTAACAAAATGCAATCAGCTTTGATATTCTCTACTGCTCTTAACAGATCAGAGATCTTGCTAGTGATATTGAGTAAGATGAATGAAGTTGCATCAGATTTGTGATTCCGACGTACTTCTTTGGTCGCCTATCCACTGTGGATCGGATCCCGGTGCATAAACTATTTGATTATTGAATGCTCCATTAATCTTTAATCTTCTAGATTCACACCAAGATAAAGTCCACTCAATTTTTTGATCAAGAATTCAGAAACCCTTCACTAAGGAAGTAGGTGTAGGAAATATCACAGAATCTGTCACTCGACCTCCGGTACCTGTCGATGGAGATGATGGATTTGTTTTAGGTTTAGATTTATTGGAGGGTATAAATGTAATTTTGTAATTTCCGCTCTTTTTGGTGGAACAAAAAATCTCAAGATTTGTCACACGAAAATTAAAAATAATCCTAGTTTGTCCCTATGCTCTTTTTGTTCATGACATGCCAACACATGAGACTATTCTTTTTGCCTGTCCCGTCCTATGTAGTTTGCATACCAAACGCATCCTAAATGTTGATGATGGATAATTTTTTTATATCTAAATGGTATGTGAGCATTTTATGCCATATGCATCCATATGTTAACATTTTGGCTTTATATTGAACTAGTATGAGAACCGCGCGATGTGCGGTACTATAAGTAAAAAAACCTTCTTTCATACCATAAAACAATAACTAAAATAAAATCATTCTAATATATAAAGAAACAAATAAGATAAACCAAAATAACCTACATAGATCCCTATGCATATGGTTCAACTTGGTCAGTAGTCGAAGCCTCTTCTTCTATGCTTACTCAATCGTTTATCATCCGTCTCTATCTTCAATATATTCTAATCCTCGATGAAGCTTTTTATGAAGATTTTCTTGTATACAATATGGAATAGAATTGCATTAACCATTTTAGGCGTTAGAGAGAATCATAATAATAAATATGAGAAGAAATAATAGAAGTTGGATTTTAGAGAATATGAATATATAAACTTAGTAAAATATTACCTTATCTACTTGGTGGATGGATGAATGTTATTGAACACTTCATGGTACACAATGTTTTTTATGAGTGTACGGTGTTCCATTTCTCCATCATATTCTAATCGTTGACAATAAACTCTCTTTTACGTGTAGTGGTTGGAGTAGCATTATTACACGGCGGGGTCCCACCAATATCATCCAAATTTTTCATGTCACTCAAAGCCGTCTCCTATGTCATTTGAAAACCACATAAAAAGAAACAACTTAAACATAAGGGAAACCATTTAAAATTCTTGGAAGATAGATAAATGATACAACAAACAGCTAGAAATATAGGTTTTACATAAAAAAAAAAAAACTAACCGTGGTTGAGTCAACGGGCTTGTATTCTTTCTCTAGAACATAATCTGGATTAAAAACCTTACAGACGGTAACGATATCGCTGCCGTGTTTGATATTATAATCAGACAATTGCAGGCAGAACACAAATTTTTGCCCACAAAGGGAAGTAATTTCACGTGGTAAGTTGTCCTTGTCCGGATCATATTTGTTTAATAGCTTCAAAGGAGAAGAGTCTACCATCCTCTCAGCAAGTTTGTGAAGGACAACACAATTGACAACACCGGTGTCATCCCGAACAGACAAATGTAACTTGAACCTGATCACAAATGGCAGAATGATTGAAGATGTAAATTATGAAAATGGTTAGCAAGCATTAAAAGTTTGGAGCACTTACAATGTCAAAGCATTCTTGTATGCAACATTGCAAGAAGCACATGTGTAGACACCGTCAATAAGATTGACTTTTCTACAACATCCTTGACAACCTAAATAGAACCATCCATATTGTGTCTCAATATGTTCAATAACTCCCAAGATGGTTATGATGTAACCCTAGGTAYGTCAAATAAGAGGATGTTAGTGTAGAATCAAAAATTGTTTGATCAGAATACATAAAATAATGGAATAATTGTCTCTTATCATTACTTTTGGTTTGTTGCTCCACTCTGCCTGCAACAATTGTTGAATGTTCATCCGATTCTCAAACATCTCCTCTTCCACCGTTCTCTTCACCTTACCAGAAGACACCCCCAAGTGTAGTCGAGGACAAACATTAGCAAATCTGTCAGCCAAGGCCAGCACATAGTCGGTGTTGAGATTAATATACACTTTGCTTGCACTTTAGGACGCCTAGCAATAAAATGTATATTATGTGAAAGTTAGTTAAAAAGATATAAGCTTTAAGTTATTATATAAAAGATTATGAAAGAGATTACCTTGGAATTTTTTGACTCGGGTAGAAGTAATTATGATAATAAAAGTGGCACCTGACTTTTGCTGTAATTGGGAATCATCAAAAGTTTCACCAAGAGCTCCCCATAAAGTAACTTTGCATGTGACATTGCTAAGGTAAATAGTAAGAGCAATTGGAAAAAGTTAACCACAGTATCAAAGTATTTGCTAAAAGGAGAAACAACAATATAACTTGGAAGATCACTTGCAATTTCGATATAATCTCCAAGTCTCTTTTTCGAAACCCACCCCTCACAGTCTCAACATCTCCGACAGCAGTTAAACAACCAATAATATCTAAAAAACCAAAAGAACATAAATTAATCAAGTGAGGTCAAAAAAGGTAAGAACTTCTTTTAGACATACCTGTGAGTATGTTGTCATCGTTGAGACGGTCATTAACTGTTTTCTCACTTGCATGTTGGAACCTATGCATAGGGATAGAAGGAACATAGGTATCAACTTTTTCCACCTTGGTTAATAGTGTAAACATAATCTTCAATTTTTAGTCAATGACCTTGAAGGCGCCAGAATTCTCAACCACCTTGAAATTCTTCAAAATATACACAAATGGTTGAACTTGTTGACCAAGTTCTTCCTTACCATTGCTGTCATAAGAGAGCCCTACAAAACAAAACAAAGGAAAACAAACAAATTAACCAAAACATACTTTGCTAATACATGGTATTAACAATAAGAATAAATGACACACATTTTCATCAATCACAACCATGTCCAAACTAATCAATTCCCCATTTCTCTTTGTATTCAAAGATTCCCACAACCTACATATCCTAATTTTTACAACCCAACTTTCATTATCTAAAACCAAGTTCTGTAATCCAACAAACTCCATATGTAGAAAGATTTATAATAAAAACTTATAAAGAGAAAAACATCTTATGGTATAGAAAGTAGTATGAGTAATTAACAAAGTAATAAAAAATAATATAAGCATGTGCATATATATAGCATATAAGCAACAATTAATTCATCATTAACAAAAATTCATTAGTTATTTAAATGTCATTTACAAGTTTGAATTAATGATGTGAATGTTACAAATTCATATGAGTAACTAAAATGTAGAAACATTGATTGAGACAATAACACTAACCATAAATGGAATTAAAAGCAATTTAAAAGTTTAAGTTACATGACCATAGAAAATGAATGGAAACACAAAGTATAACAAAGATGATTAAAGTAGTGTAATTTTATTATAATATTTCAAATAAATTAAATTACATTTAAGAACATTTATTGCTAATTATTTTATTAAAGCATTGTTTCATTGTAAACAACATACTTTTAATTTTTTTTTAAACATTATATTTATTAGTCCAATGTTGAAGTTATATTAAGGTGGTGTTTGGGATTGAGCATGCCATGAGCTAGAAATTAGAATGCTCTAGAAGAATACCTGAAGCTCATAAAGAAGGGATCCACATGTCGTTTCCACTTGCAGAAGTGGATCCTTGGAGGGAGTAGACATTCTGAGACAACACTTATGAATTGATTAGTTAAATAGAATATCAAACATAAAAAAGCTAGTAAGCACAATCACAATGTTAAGTTTCTGCTGTATCATGAACAGTGACATGTTTCCATATACTCTATCTCGACAGAAATAATAGGAAGTAATACAATTAAGCAACTAAAATGAGCAATATAGATACGATTCATAGACTATGCTGGCAGCATCAGAGATCAAAGGACTTACTACTGAAAACCCATTACGTGTCAGATCATCAAGTGTTTGACGTAAATTCTGCAGCAGAAAAAATAAACAATACTGATGATTTAAAAAGAATACATGCATCAAACCCAATGGCTTCATAAAATGGAACATTACAACCATAGATACAACAATTTTCACTACATACAAAAAGAGAACCTTTGTTATTTGTCAAACATTAGATGACTTGTGTTTTTGAAGTCGAATTACAACGGTTGTTAATGTTATTTCAAGTAACATTCGTTTGTTATTGGGCTCTAAGAAAAATTAATATTAATTTTTGATTAATCTTATATATATTAAAGAAGAAACCACGTCCAGTGATTAATATTACGACGGTTGTTAATGTTATTTCAAGTAACCTTCGTTTGTTATTGGGCTCCAAGAAAAATTAATATTAATTTTTGATTAATTTTATTTATTTATGTTCGGTGCTCCCCATGGTTCTAAATCCTGGCTCCGCCCCAAYRCTAAATACATGAGGAAAGATTGTAGAATCCAATATTTGATTTATGATTAGAAATAAYGATGAGAAAGCTTCATCAATTTATTAGTTTCGCAAGGAGGAATGCCACCTTCAACCCTAAACATGAAAATGTGGTGAGAGGGAGGTACTAAAATACCTACATTGCAACTGGAAAGCATGCAAAGAAACTAACCTAACACAGGTCTTGATGCTGCTA